TATCAATAGAGTGCCAGAGAATCGCAGCGTTGTGGGTATAAATTGAAATATCAGAAAGGATTGACTATAGGTTATACGTCTTGTCAAACAGGCCGACGTATTTCTTCCGCTCATGTGGAAATAAATCGAAAGAACGGTCTACGTTATACTCGTATGTTCCAGGCGGGAATAGATATATGGGCTACATGAAAGGATGATCCTCAGCCTAGTTTATTTTTTACGAACATGTCACTCAAAGCAGGGAGAGATACTGTTTTAGAAATAATCGTCAAGGGATAATTTGCAGTCAATGCCACAAAATCGATTGCTGTGAGTTTACTAAGTTTTATGTTGAGAGATTATGAACGCAATTGTCAAAATGGATAAAAATACCTCATGTTGTAACTGATTAGTTGAAATAGTAGTAATGTTTTCGAGAAAGTAAAATATATAGATGAATATATTGTATTCACTAATATACTTCTTTGTTCAATAAAAATTTGGTGAATTTCCATTCTTATCAAAAACTATTTCTATTTCAATTCTGTTCTTTTTGAAGTGTATGTAATGTGCGAAAACAAACATCTTCCAAATGATGGTCATGGATACATAATTCATTAATCGTTTCAAAAAGGATCAAAATAATTATTCTTTATCACTTCACTGAGATGATGTCTCTAAAATGGGCTCAAAATACCGTCATTTTGAATTAATGATAATTTTTATCTTCAAATATTCAATACGGATTTTCGTTGATTGAGAAAATGCGTATTTCCATTTGCTGGAGAAAAATGATTCGGTGTGAGACATATTTATGAAATCCAATATATGGTGTTTATGGCCCGGAGTCTCTGTTATTCGTTCATGAACTTCAAAGGAAAATAGGCCAAGCAACGAAAGATCACCGTTCTACCTCTTTTTTGATAGAAAGAATTAGTATTGCTATTCAACGTGGCAATGCTGCTTCAGTATTTGGAACTATTCCTTCTTCACATAATTTTAATGAGATCATGCATTGCCCTAATTTCAGTACGGAACTGAAAACTCTTCGAAACAAGCCGAGATATGTGGATATTCATCAGTCTCCTATCAAGGTTAATTCAGAAGTGATTGATCCACCTTCTTCTTTTTCAGTGCGGTCAGTGGACTCAGGTCATTCTTGCTCCCCAAATATGAGTTGCAGTCCTCGTAGAACTGGTTCCCTTTCAGTGGAAGAGCTTCATGAAGCAAGAGCCGAATCGATCCTTCTACGAAACCCTTCTTCACAGCTTAAGAAATCGCAGCTTAAGAAATGGTTCTTATGAAGATTCTGTGAAACATGTTCTTTCTCACGAATCAGTAGATAGTTTTCCTGAAAATCTAGAGAAGAAAATTGGATTGGATAATTTAGAAAACACTTACTACATGAATAGCATTTCACAAGAATTTCAAGAATGAAGTTTTAATGATGAACGAGAAAGGAAATGTTTCCTACTCATTCATCAAACTCAAACACCTGTTCATGCAGCTGCAGTTTCGTAAGAAGGTATCATCTTTCCCTCCAACCGATTTCCTGGAGTCTTTGAAGTCCACTATATACTCGTTAGGATAACAAGAGGATTGTTTCCGAATTCTTGGGGTTCTTGTTGAATACTCTTCGTGAGCAAAACAATAGCAAAATCAATACTCTTAACCGCTCTGGACTGAATGATTCCGTACTACCCATCTCGTCTTGTGTTTGTAAATCTTTTGCTGGTAAATGTTCAAGAAGTACCGAAAACTTATGTGAATTTCTGGAACTTTTCCTAATATGACTAATAACCAGTCCGTGTAAAGCTTATTGTTGAATCATCTGAAAATGAAATTTTTAACAGGTGATGATCGACTGTATTGTCAAACATGCATCAAACTAACTGACTGTTATAAGGAAACAAGTATAGCTGAGGCACCAGTCAATCTAATAATAACACTGATGATTTTCAAACAAGACTCAACCTCTAACGGAAGCAAGAAACTCTTTGGAAGGTTCGAAATAGATGAACATTTCAACCTAGCAGACCACTATTATAATATTCATGCAGTCATTGTTCACTGTGGTTCTGGCGTTGAATTTGGTTATTATTACGCCTTGGTCAAAGACGAAACGGACTGGTTTAAGTTTGACGATAGTCGTGTCACGAAGTGTTCTGGCGATGCATTGAATTTATTGGAGCCTCTGGAGACACCCTACATTTTGTTTTATAAGAGAGAGGACATTTTTAGATCAAGATCTTCAGACGATGTGGAGACGGGTTTTCCTGCAGCTGAAAAAGCAAATGCGCCACTGGAATCAATGAAGTCGCCCCGGAGCGCCAAATAATTTTTATTGTTGTTTCTATTTTATTTTTATCGTTGTTTTATTAATTATAAAATTAACTCTAAAAAAAATCCAATATAGTTTATTGTATAAGTTTGAAAATGTCCGTATAGGACGAAACTGCAGTAACGTTAGTTACAAATGAAAGTGGTAAAAAACATAGAAAGTTCCATTTCTCTTTTCTATATTATGATTTCCTACCATCCATCAATTTAACAAAATATTTTATTAGTGAAAAACTGTATATATGCCATGGAGATGACGATCATGTTAACATCATTTTGAATAATTCCTATTGCCATCTCATCACAAACGTAATTGTTCAGAACTACTTTGATCCATTCACAGACGGCTCACGAAGGCTGAAGGTCAAATTTTATGGCAAACTCAATGATGAAAACCACATATCGATATCTATCATCAATAGATATATATCTATATCGATATCTATCATCGATAGATATCGATATGCGAAAATATTCATTTTCGAAAAATTGCTATAAGTTTTTTAACATAGTTTCAATGAATCTGATAACAACTTATTCTATATTTACTACTCATAAATGAAACTTCAACAATAATAATGATAACGATAAAGAACAAACCGTGTAATATATTTCTTCAGAGAAGATGTCCGAAATGTCAACCAGCATCTCCTACAGGAGTGAGAGAAGCATAACTTAGCATCACTACCGCTTCCAATTCGTATCTAGAATGGGTCGGCAATTTGAAAATAAGATTTTTCAACCTTCCCCACAGGTCAAATTCTATAGGAGTTAGGTTCGGTGGCCGGCCAACGGTTGGGTCCTTGATTGACTATCCAATTATCACCAAAATTTGCAGCCGAAAAATTGTTGACAATTGAAGTGTTGTGAGGCGAAGCCCCATCTTGTTGAAAACATATTCTTATGAGCTTCACTTGTGGCAATTCATCAAGAAGGGGTTCCATATTTTGCCTTGAGATTTCTAAATACCTCTGAGATGTGAGAGTGCTATTATAAATGAACGAGCCGATGACTCTTCACCTGGCCACAAACTGAATCAAATCTTCCTTGACTTTTCTGCTTCACAATAGAATGAGGATTTTGTTGTGTCGAAGTATAAGAATTGTAGCAGTTGAAAATACCGGCACTGCTCAGTTAAGCTTCGTTTGAACAAATTCAATCCAACAAAAATGCATGCACTTGGTTACAACTTTTCAGGCATTAACAAAAACATGTGGCGTTCAAAATCTCCTGGTCTGAGTTGTTGAACTCTTCTGGTTATGTATGGCTTGAATTCGTTTCTTTACAAAATCCTCCTAACGTTGGTTCTAGGTAGGCCTGTTGAAAATTTTCAAATTTCGCGTTGACGTTTTGAGGTTATTTTCAACAGCTCCGAAAACGACAATTTCTTTCAACTCCTTATCCCTATTTGATTCATTTAATTTTGGCATTTTCTATTCAATCTTGCGAAAATGTCTCTAATAGGTTGTCTCCTCTCTGGATACCTCTCATAATACAAATTGATTGTTGCTTCTGCATTTTCCCTGTCGGAAATTTCTTGTTTCTATAAAAACATTTCCAGAACACGTTTTTACGTAGAATCCAATGGTGAAAGTTATTGATGGAAAACTATTTTTTTCAATGAAATACCCTATATATTCCTCTGCATATTTTAATAGAGCTGAAAATTACCTTTCCAAAAATGTGGCACATTTCATGTTTTGGTGGAGTCATCTTTAAAATACAGACCTTTCAGTTTTTTTCATGTAGACTTTGAAATGCACACTTTGATCAAGTATGCTTTGGACGACGTGACGCGGAAGAACAACTCAGTAGCACTTGTGCTGAGTCGAACTTCGCCTTTTGTTATGTCAGCAACTAGCTCTCTAATTTATTTAAATATTTGTATGTAACAGAAACAATCGCAATAGGTACATTACATCGAACATCATTCACGCGTCAATCAAACGAATACTTAATTTTTTTCAAATAAAACAAACAAACAAACCATAGAGAAGTTGACCTACAGATTTCACAACTCTAATCACATATTCTACAGGCATTAATACATTGTACTTAGTAATATGTATTTTCCACATCAACAATTGGGGTATCTGTGCTCATACTTAGTTGCGAATGTGTTTGAAAATTGAACAAAAGCTACTAATTGAAGAGCGTCTTTAATCTTAAATCGATACCAGTAAAGATTTGCATTCTGTTTTATCGTCGCATCTTCCAAAGCCTACTTGATCAAAGTGTGCGTTTCAAAGTCTACAGGAAAGAACCTAATAGGTCTGTATTTCAAAGATGACTCTAGCAAAACATCAAGTGTGCTACATTTTTTGAAGGGTAATTTTGAGTTTTATTGGAATATGGAGAAATATATAAGGCGTCTCATCAAAAAACAAGTTTTCCATCAATAAGTATTGATATCTCTTCTGAAAAAATAAGTTTTTTACACATTTCAAAGAGTATCCGGGACTGACTAAATGTAGGGTTATTCCGCCCTAATATCACCATAACGTTTACGAATTTCCCAATGAAACCCCACTGTTTAATGTTCCTCGACAAATATTATGATCCTATCACCACTCTCGATTGATCACTCTTTGATAGAAAAATTGAAAACTTATCCACCGCCCTCGATTCCTTCAAACTAGTTATCACCCTCAGCTTATCTACTCACACACGTTCATTTTCAGCTGTTTGGATAGAGCCGACATAATCCGAGTGTACGATGGAAAGACGGCCGCCGATCAATCCATAACGGTGCTGTGCAACGAAGGAAACGAAATTGAAATTCTTTCGACAGGATCTGACCTCTTCATCGAATTCGTTGCGAATTCTGATTGGCCTGGCCAAGGGTTCAAAGCAAGATTCCAGTTCCAGCCTAGCGACGATAATTCAATAGGTAAATATTTCGTCCGAAAAACCTCTGGCAATATTTAATAGCAGGATCATATATATGTGAGTATATCAAAGACTTAAGAGATGAATAACGACATGTGCTTATGAAAGTATAGACAGTTCAGACAAAATAGACGAAAAATAGGACTGGGTTTGCAAAAATTACCAGCGTCGTTATGCGTCATTATGAATGAAATATCAAGAGTCTTCAGCGATTCCACTTATGTGTTGTTTTATAATAAAGGTCAGAGAACACAAATTTCCGTTATTTGCGTATATTACTTGATGGTGGGAGATAATGGAAAAAAACAGTCAGATGAAGTTTGTAGATAGTATAATTCTCTATAAAAATTATATCCATTTTTTTTCTCTCACCGTTCTCGGGTTATCGCGATGTCGTTTTTCTAATTATATACATTCATTCATACATGGGAAGTTTGAAAAATTTTTGACCTAACAAAGATACGAGACATTTTTTCACGATTTTTTATTTTTCAACAAAGCCTTCTTTCAATTCTACACACGTTTTTTAACGATGCTCCCATCTCTGTGACCTATCCAAATAGTACACGACGTTTTTGTCTGCGAAATAATTGTTCATGAAGGTGATTGCCTCTTCATTCGACAAAAATCTCAGAACTCTGAGTGCAATTTTTAGATGATGGGTCGATTGAAATAACTCCATGACTATCGCCATCACTTTCTAAACCGAAAAAACAGTTTTTTCCTTTTATGGAGCGTATTTCCCCTTCGTAGTACACTGTTTGGACTGCGATTTTGTTTCGGGCGTATAATGATGTATCCAAGTTTCATAAACAGTAATTAATCTGATTCATTGCGCCTAAACAGAGCGTTGAAATTGTTCATTCGAACACGTTTTCAATCTAACGTTAGTGGCTTGGCTGTCCTTGTTCATCTTTCACTGCCTGAACCACTGTGCATACTGTTTTTGGCGAGTGCACTGACTTGGGATGTGGGTGTTGAGCAAACCGGTCATTGGATGCCTGCTTCCACGTAGCCCCGCTGGATACGGGAATGACAGAATCACTTGTGGTTCTGTTGTGATTGGCCTTCTTTCCCTAGCTACTCGTGGGAATTTTATGGACAGAGTAAACTTGAAAATTCTTTCTGACGCTGAGTCTACAGAGGAGATGGATGTCGATCTCACGACTCTAACTGACCTCCCTGTAAATTAAAATCAGGAGCGAGAGCTTCTCAACTCTCCAACTCATGATTCAATAACTGTACCTTAAAAAAAGGTTTGGTGGTGCAGCCAGGAAACGACTAAGTCGTCTCCACAAGAGCGGGGTACCTTATGAAACCGCCTTGCACCAAATTCTTGAGCGGCGTACACAGAATCTGTCTTGAGTGGAGAAACAAACCCCTCATGAGCGGGTTAGCAAACGTTTGCACTCAAGTGATGATTCACCAAAACCAGAGGCGCAAAAACCCTCATATGGGAAGGTTGTCGCGGGTATCATGGTGTGAATCTTGCACCTTGACTATCCGAATACCTCATTAATGATGAAACAGCAGAGCATATACTCTGTGCCTGCCCCGCTGGGAACTGAATCAGGTTTTCAGAGTTCGACAGAGCCGTACTCTCACCATCTGACCTGAAAGACCACTCATCTTACAAAATAATCGGCTTCGTTGAGAGTTTATTTGGTCGAGTGTTAAAAGGTGGGGGCCACAATAAGTCCTTGCGGGTTGCGGTGGGGGTCGAATAGACTCACTCACTGTGGACCTAACCTAACTTAACCCAGCAAACGCGGACAGCTGTCTCATGTCTGAAAAGAAGTCCCTAGACGATCAATAATATTGTCAATGATGCTCATTGAAGCACACAAATGATCGTATGGGGGGCGATTGGAAATTCCATCGCAATAGATGGATGGAAATTGATAGAAAATTTGATTGAAGGACATTGATTGGCGCCATTGGCCGAGCAGATTGATAGTGTGAATGAGAAATATTGTCAATAGTTCTGCCAGTGGCAGGAAAGTGAAATCGAAGGATTACTTCAATAAAAAGGCATTGCTTTAAAAAAATAGTTATTGTGTTGAAACAATCCAAACCAGATTACACTAAGGAAAAACTAAACCCGAAAGCAACATTGAAACAACTATCAATCGAAATCACCAGTCACATTGACACCAGATACATTGCTGTATTGCGGTTGCTGTATTTCTTGATATTGAAGGAGCATTCGACAATGCACTACCTAAATCTATAGGATTGTCTTTGGCTAGAAAGGGTATAGAATCGACCATAACTGGATGGATCTATGCTATGCTAGTAAATAGAACTGCAACTACGACTCTTCAAGGCGAGGCTATCAAATTCAGGGTCACCAGGCGCTCCCCTCAAGGTGGGGTACTATCTCCCCTTTTGTAGTCGCTCCTGGTGGATAGTCTACTTGATGCCCTCGACAGAAAAAAAGTTGATCTGCAAGCTAATGCAGATGACCTTGTCATCCTGGCAAAGTCCACGTCGGGAAGGGTAGCATGTAATATCCCCCAACGCGCGTTGGAAGTTATTCACAGTTGGTGCCTGAGGGAGCAGATGTCTGTCAACCCCAGCAAAACTGTGGTAATCCCCTTTACCGAGAGAAAGAAATTGGACGATTTAACGCCACTTTCCCTCAATGGTGTGGTCATTCCATTTGGAACGGAGGTGAACTATGTTGGCATTGTCCTTGATAAAAGACTCACCTGGAAGGCTCACTTGGAAAAAGTTTTACACAAAGCCAGACTATCTCGATGGACATGTCGAAGGATTTATGGCAAAACTTGGGGTTTAGGTCCCGAACAAATCCATTTGATTTATGTGATGTTTGTCAGACCAATGATCACGTATGGTGCAATTGCTTGGTGACCGAAGGCTTTACAGAAAACGGCTCAAGCGAAGCTCTCTGGCTTACAGAGACAGGGTTGTCTGGCTATCAGTGGTGTCATCAGCACCACACCATCAGCGGCCATGGAGATCCTTCTAGATCTACCTCCTCTCCACATTCTTCTGGAAAGAGAGGCTGGATGGACTGCATACAGACTTGTGCACATTGCCAATAGCACAAATGAATTCAATGCAGAGTGCAACAGACTGTTGGTTGACATTTGAAGTCACAGCATTCTGGAAATGACCTCTGACTTTATGCCTCCCACTGTCTACTACGAACTGCCTTATAATGTACTATTCCCGAGTAGAGAGGACTGGATCCTGCGGGAGAAGGAAATATTAAGAGCAGATAGTTGTTGGTTCACAGATGGATCAAAAACGCCTTCCGGTTCTGGTGCAGGTGTTTTCAGTCGCAGACCCAGGACAGAGTTATCTATCTGCCTAGGAACTTATGCGACTGTATTTCAAGCGAAAATTGAATTGTGTGCGGAGAGATTGGATAAAACCAACCTCACTCACAAGTCAATTAAAATGTTCTCGGATAGTCAAGCGGTGTTGGAAGCTCTTGGCTCCTACCGAGCAACGTCTAAATTGCTAGCAAACTGCCAAAAAAGACTCTCCTCGATAGGAAAACTAAACAGATTGTCTCTGGTGTGGATTCCTGGCGGTACTGGCCTGGAAGGCAATGAAGCTGCTAACTCTCTTGTAAAGGAGGGTGCTGCAAGCGGCTTCATTGGAGCAGAACCTGTCATTGGCATCGCTTTGGGCTTTGCCTAACACACACTTAACACCTGGATGGCAAGAAGAGTTATGGACTTCTGGCAGAAACTTCCAGGATTGGCTCACTCCAAGGCGTTTATTCACCCTTCGAAGCTTGATTCCAAACAGTTGTTGAACTACAGTAGGGATAAACTAAGATGTCTAACAGGCCTTCTTAGAGGTCACTGTCATTTGAATCATCACATACAGAGACTTGGACTGTCGGAAGACAGTGTGTGTCGCCTCTGTCTGTAAAATGATGAAACTGCAGAGCATATACTTTGTGCCTGCCTCGCTGGGGACCGAATCAGGTTCTTTGAGTTCGGCAGATCCGTACTCTCACCATCTGACCTGAAAGACCACTCACCATACAAACCATTCGACTTCGTTAAGAAGCTGGGTTTATTTGGCCGAGTGTGAATAGGTGTGAGCCACAATAAACCCCTATATGGGTTGCAGTGGAGGGTCGAATAGACCCACTCACTTTAGACCTACCTACCTACCTACATTGACGATATTATTGACCGCATAGGGACCCCTTAAATGTTGATTCAATTCAATTCAATGTGTCAAACACGTTCTTTTGACATATTCATAACCTTTGCTACATCTTTCACTTCAATTCGGTGGTCGTCTAGTATCATTTGGTGAACTTTGGCGATTTTTTCGTCGGCAGTTGCACTTATTGGACGTCCCGAACGTTCATCATCTCTCAAGCTCTTACGGTCACGTTTGAATTCAGCATTCCAGAATTTCAATGTATTGAATGACGGTGCAGACACCCCATACACAGAATACAACTCATCTTTGATATGCGTAGGCGTATTGCCTTTCAAAAACAAATATTTCATGACAGCTCGATACATGATTTTGTCAATCTTCATAAAAACACTCACATCAACCCACTCAAACGACTGGCACATAACAATTGCGCGTCAAAAATGGCTGAAATTTCGGCGAGTAACTGTCAACAGATGAACAACAAAATTCAATAGCTTTTATCCACAAGTGCTGCTACCTTCACGTTGACATCGGAAACTTTTCAGACCATCTTCGTGCACCACGTCTGAGGTGGTGTGATTGGCGCTTCATCAACGTACTTTCCTTCGTAGGAATACTGCACAATAATTAATATGATTGAGGAAATTTGATAGCTCATTATTTTATAAATTTACTTGCACGAGTAGTAGCAAGAAAATAGAAGTTTCGTCATCACACTCTTTCTCTTTGTTTTAGTCCTCATGGTTTCCTTCTCTCTCTTCTTGTTTCATTTATGTGGATTGTTCTGGAAAAAGCGAAATGTCAATTACAGAAATTTCCATCTTTTTCATTGAATTCAGCATTCAT